AAAGTTTACTGTAACTACGACACGAGGTGAAGGACGAGGTCATGCTTTGGAACGAAAGCTGTTCAAGCACAAATAAGATATTATCTAAATCCGCCGTTTGCACAAAGCAGCAGTAGCAGAACTGTGCTCACAGTTAAGCACACACAAGATTAAACCAGAGACATGTTAGCCTTTCTTAATGTGTCTGCAAATAAAACAATCCTATTCGTTGAACAGGTGGATGAAACTCCGACATCAGCTCGGAGGTGGTCGAATGAAGTGACGGTCAGGGTGGAGAAAATCACAGTTTCATCACCAGACTTCTTACGTCAAGAGGACTAACAGGATAGGCAACAGAATGCCTCCCTTTTTGTTCCTGAACAAGCTCTTCCTGTGACTAAGATGCCTTCAGATCGCACCTGTTTGAAAACATGAAAACAATTAAAAGATGCAGCTCAGAGAGCCAGTGGATGGCGATTTTCCCAGATTCCCTGTTGTTTGTGACTGTAATGAAACCATCACTAAACGACTGTTAAAGCAGCATGAAGGTGAAAGGTATTTCTCTGCTGCCACTGTGCTCACTGGACCTTTTCCCACCACTTCCTAAACAAATGAGTTGCTTACATTCATACGTTCATCTTCCTGAGACTGTTCGCAGTCATGTAGAGAAAGTCGGAGACCACGCCTCGCACTCATCCTGTGTGGGATTTTACATGAATATACAAGAGATCTGCGAGTACCAAACCCAACTCTTCCTCACATTTTAATTTTGTGGATTTGAGTAACTTTTCATGTCTACGGTCTGATCTCCTCCTGGTGTACAGCAAATGACTGGTGCTGAAAGAAAACCCATCTTAACAGCATTTTTTGCATCATGAATCTGGATTTGTAGCTTTAATTACATCAACTCAATCCTCAAAGATTAAAAAGAAATCTAAATTATAAATGTACCTTGCTTAACCACATTTACCCAAAACAAACACACAAAACATGTCATGGAATCAGCTAAAAGATCTCAAAAAGCAACACATTCTGCCCTGTTCTATTAAAATTCAAGATCAAAAGAACCCAGAGCAACATCTGAAGCACCACAGCATGCACTAGAGTAGAGATCAATGCAGATGTCCAGTTTTTTCTAAGAGGGCGCCATCTAGAGGTGAGAAAATGTATTCCATCAAAAGCCCTTCTCCCTTCTCCCTTCTTCCGTGATTAGAGAATAGAATAGACTGTTGATCCCACAGCAGGTACATTCACTTGCTTTAGCAGCACAAACACTTAGAGAAAAGAAAGAAGAGAATTATAAGATTACAGGTAAATACAAAAGCAGTAAGCTATTATTGCAACCTTGAACCAAGAAAAACAGCGAATAAAAGGAAACTTGGTTCGCCAGAACTAAGCAGCATACAGGACACAGACATGTACATCTGGTATTACACAAGTATGTTCTGAGTATTGCATTGATGTTATTGTGTACCAGGATAATGCCAGTACCAGTTAAACTGAGGAGTTATACACTTACTGCAGAGGGGATGAATGACCTACGGTAGTGTTTTGTTTTACATCTGGGATGTCTCAGTCTGCCTCTGAAGAAATGCTGGAAGCAGTGGCTTTCATTTGTCAACGAGTACCTCTAGCCAGGCAACAGAGCTCTTAGAGGTCATGATTCAACAACCGGAAACAAACAAAAGGGTAAAAACAACATGCACGGGGGAGTTCCGAGGTAAAAACATCCACTGATCAAAAAGAACACCAAGAAAAGTCTCACATTTAAATCATTTAGATGATTCTTAGGAATTTTGTGTAAATAATTGGTGGACTGATGAGACAAAAGTAGAGCTTTTTAAAACGTTTCCCCTTTAAACACTGCATACAACCAGCACCACATCTTTATATCTTATACAGGTCTGGACAGCTGTTTTTTTTTTCTAAATCAGTTTGACAGCTGCACTTTTAATTTAATCAGATTATTTTTTTCTGATTGTAAATTTGTTTGAAACATTTTAATTTGACATAATGCCCAAAATAGAAGAAATCCATTGGAGGGCCAATCTCTCAGGGACCGACTGACTGATCAGGTACATCTACACAGTATTAAGTTAAAATTGATTTTATGGATTAGGAGATTTTTTTTTAAATAAGATGCATTTTAGGGATAACACCTAACAAACAATACACACTCAAGTCCAATGCAGGTTTATTCAAACACAGTGGGAGGAAGTAGATCTGTGGATGAGCAGCACTTCATGCAAAAGATGCAACATGCAAAACCAACAGCAGGTAAAATACAAAACATGATACAAAATTATGTCATGAAGCACCACGAGAAATGTAGTTTGTCTGTATTAAGACCAGTACTTTTATGAAACAATGCATTATACTACTGTGGTGGTGGCTTTCCAATGCATTTTTCTTTTATATATATACATATATGAGTAATGTGATAACTAGCCTACATGTGAAAACTTTGGTTTGTGAGATGAGGTTTGTTTTTGTGACGACAACTCTGCTCAAGTGGGAGGGAATTTACAGTTTGTTTATCTTCTGACTGAAAGTTACATCTGAGAGTAGCAAAGTTTAAACCATAAGCAAATTTCAAGGAAATTTACTAGAAAGATGAGCTGCTTGTGGAGACAGACACACACGCACGTCAGTTTTATCCTTTTGTACATAAGGACTTAATAACAATAATAATAATAATAAATATCACTTAATTATGTAAAAATAAAACATGCTTTTGAAAAAATAAAAAGGAGTTCTATTACATTAATAATTATAAAGCTCAAATTCATGCAGGACATGTTGATATTGGTTGAGGATCATTTAGATGGACACCAACCAGTGTAGGAGGGAAGTATGGAATCACTGGAGTGCCCAAATTTTACATTTAAATTTAAATTTAAAATGTAAGACAAAATTTTATAAGATATTAAAAAAAATTTAAAGTAATAAATGAGTAAGTGGAAAAAAGAGATAAATATCCTGTATCTCTACAGTGCCTTATACGGCTCTACAACCCCCCAAAGCGCTTCACAACACAATCAGTCATCCACCCATGCACACACACGTTCACACGCTGGTGATGACTAGCTATGATGTAGCCACAGCTGCTCTAATAGAATTTGGTGAACACTGGTGCCACCAGTCCTTCCGACCACCAGCAGCAGGCAAGATGTGTAAAGTGTCTTGCTCAAGGACACAACAGAAACATTCTTTGCCAGGAGCCGGGATCAGTCCTACAACCATTCCATTACTGGAAAACCTGCTCTACCTCCAGAGCTGCTGCTGTCACAATTCAGCAAAAAAAAAATGAAACAGAAAGGAAGCATTTGAACTAAAATCATTTATTTAAAGTAAATTATCAAATATGTAAAGTTTGTTGACGTTTTTCCAATCAGTTTATTTCTATCACGTGTCAACAGTCTTTCACTATAACTTTTTTCTGCCATCTTTCAGTGTATTTTCCTTTTCCTTTTGTTGCTTTTTAGAAGCATACTAAACGCAAAAGTGTGATTTTGCTGTGGTTGGTACTAGGGCTGGGCGATATGACGATTTTAGACCGTTTTACGATCTACACATCTGACGGTCTGTCATTTTTGAGAGACCGTTTTATCACGATTCACAGCTCTGGTTGGTACCGTTCGGTAACATTATCTGGCCTTCCTCTAGGAAGAAGTTGGGAATATTTACAAGTCCCAACATGCAAAGTGGGACATTAGCAGGCTACGTGGTGTTGTGTATAAACAGTGTCAACGGTATTTCAGTTGACATGGAAAATCTTCTGGTTAATCTTGGATTTACACATAGAGAAAGCAGGTCCTTTAACCCCAAAATTCCACTATCTCCGCTCCGGCACGAGCTCCGCAGCAAAAACGGTCCGTTGTAGTCAATCAGAGCTGTTCCACTACTGTGGCCGTGCGGCGCAGTGTGCCGCCCGCCGTTCCGCCATCCGGCAAAAATAGGATCGATTCTATTTTTGCCGGATGCCGGAGCACCTCCGCAGTCAATGGACAGAAACCACAACCGCCCAACAGGAGAGGGAGCAAGCACAACTTCCGTTATTTCACAATAAATCGATAAACAAAAAGCGTTTTTTGTTTCATATGCACAGGTTTAACAACTTTTAACGACTATCAATGGCGGCTGAACTTTAAATGCACAAAAATAAGCCATAAATACAGTTTCTACTATCAAAGCAGTCACCCTTTGTTGATCCAAGCACTGCTGATCTCTCAACACAAATGATGGGCAGATTAAACAGTTCATTTCGATGCTTCTCCCACACAACAGGTGTTTGGATCTAACTTCCGCGTTTATTGCTCGGACTGTATTGCAAGATCTCGAAAATCCCGCGCATGCCTGTTTGCGCACCTCAGGTCTCCACTCCGGAGCGGAGCCGTTGTAGAGCGGGTACAGTATAATTTGAGTTTGGAAGCGAGCGGCAGCGGAGGGCGGGGGCAGAGATAGTGGAATTTTGGGGTAAGTAATTGAGCGTAAAGCGTGAGACACACACATTTGACCCACACCTCCAATATCTCACGCTGAGCAATCAATACCCCCCCCCCCCACCACCACCACCACCACCCGAAGCCCTCGCCCCCACCCCACCCTACCCCAACACCTCCACCCCCACCCCTCCCCACTCTCATGCATCGAAATGTTCAATAGTTGGCAGCTCTGTGTCAGAAGTAAAAGTTATTCTTCTGTCAGGAATCTAGAAGTGGCAGACTGAAGTCGTCAAGTTGGCTTTCGTTCTCTCACATGTACCACCTCTTTAAGCTAGAAAACAAAATCTTGTTGGTCGTTAAGAGTAAACGATGTAACTGAAAAGCATCAAAAACAAGGTAGAGATGTGGGTTGCATGGAGGGGCAGGTGGTCATCGCCAGGGTTCGACTTACCCTTAAAGGGTGATGCTCCCTCTGAAAACAATCAACTGGCACATCAAAGAGGAGCCCTTCGTTCCCTGCTATGGAGTTCTGTGTACGCCCCCACCTGTTGCTCTTACCGATATTAGATCAAGCACACACACACCTAGGGACAATTTAGAGGGACCCATTAACCTCATATGTTTGAGCTGTGGGAGGAAGTACCCATGCATGCACAGGGAGAACAAGCAAACTTCTGGCAGAAAGACCTCAAGCTGGGATTTAAACCCAGGACCTTCTTGCAACAAAGCAACAGCGCTTGCCACTGCTCCACTGTGTAGCCAATAACAGTTAAATACAAAATTAAAACAAAATGTAAAGAGAAACAAAAAAGAAAAGTTAAAGTGATTAGAAAAATAATAAACAAAATAGTGCAACTTATCTCTTCATATTGTCTATTTTAAAAAATCTACATTTAAATTTTCTTTTATTCATTTGTCAAACTTGTACTCTTCTACAGACATTTTCCTCTTTATTTATTTATTTGTTTATTTATTTGTTTGTTTGTTTATTCTTGCAGATATTTATTTGACTTCATTTTGGCACTGTTATCACTCCATAGAGAGGCTGTCATGCTCACAGGTGGGTTTTGCATAGTCAAATGTTGTAATAGGTTGTTACATATCAGCAGTTATATACCAGCACTCTAGCTGCAGTTTTTTGCACAATGGCTTCATGCTTTTTTCTCCTGTGTGTCGTGAGCCTGGTGTTCAGGTCGTGCTGCAGCATGCGCTCACCTGAATGGTTTCAGAACATTTCTACTGACCTGTTCAGCTATCCTGGTGACATAAACCTCGGCGGGCTCTTTCCTATCCAGCAAGCTAAGAATATAAGTCGCATTATAGCCCCTAACAGCATCAAGTGTGAAAGGTAAACAAGCTTTTTCCATTTACGTTGTGTGTGTTTGACCTGACTAACATGGCTTCTGGAATGTTTTTCTCTCATTGAAACAGTTTAAATGAACTTGGACTGGGCCTGGCTTTAGTAATGAAATTTGCAGTGGATGAGATCAACGGGAACCAGAGTCTGCTGCCTGGCATCAAGTTAGGTTATAAAATCTACGACACATGCAGCCAGTCATCTATCATTGTGAAGCCTACTCTATCCTTCCTCACAGCAAAAACCAGCCACGCTCTCTCTGTGGAATGCAATTACACTGATTATGAGACCAGCATGTCAGCGGTCATCGGTCCATACACCTCAGAGATGGTTTCAGTCATTGGAAAACTGCTGGGATTCTTTCTAATGCCACAGGTTTGAAGACAAATATATCTTCCAGCCAGTGCTGATCATGATTCTTAGTGAGTTAAACCTAAACATGTCCAAATGGAGTCAATGTGAATGTGTATCATCATATTATAATAATTTCAGAAGATTTATGCAGTAAATAAAGAAATTTAAAAGTCAGTAATTTCACAAATCCATAAAGAGTCTGAATACAAAAAAATAACTCTTTTTTAGGAAATCCATAACCTAACTGAGCAATTAGCACCTAAAATTATTTTCTAACACAGCTAATTAATATTTCACTGTCTTGATCTCAAAAATATTACAACTGAAATAAGCACAAAAATCCTTCTTTGAAATAAAACCATGGAATGAAGCACAAGTATGCAATTTGGTATTTTAATGTGGTAGACATGTAATTTAGATTTTATTTGTTTTATTTACTTGTTTAATTCTACTTTAATTTTTTTATGCACTCTTTGCTTTTTTAGTACAGCACTATAGCATGGTGCTTTTTAAACGAATGAAGGAATGAGTATGCTTTTTTCAATTTTTGACACATTTTCAACAAAATATTTTATTTTCCAAACAAAATGCTATTTGAGATAACAAAACAAGTATTAAGAATACTATATATATATATATATATATATATATATATATATATATATATGTATAATTATATTAAATTCCAAATAAGTTTTTCAGATTATACCAGAGGACAAAGCTTGGTTGCAAAATGATAAAAACAAGCAGTATTTTATAATTTACAACTAAAATGTGTTTTCTTGGTTTAAAATCTTTGGTAGTTATCATTCCATACCAGTTTATTTATATGCCGCATTTATAAACAACATGGGAGCTGAGCAAAGTGCCTCCCTACATAGGACAGAGAATTAAAAAAAAATACAAATAAAGCAGTCAGTAAAAGCAGATAATAACAGCAATCAAAACACACAATAAATGGTAAAAATGAGCCTTAAAAATGTATCTAAAACAGTAAAAACAAGCATAAAAGGTAGTGATAAGCCAAAAACCAGGTCATAGGAATGGGTTCAGTCTTGACTTGAAGACAGAGACTGATGCAGACTGCCGTATGAAGATAGGGAGGGCAATCTAAAGGACAGGTGCATTCACAAAGGCCCGCTGCCCCCTTGCTTTATATTTCATTTTGGGGGTGCACAGCAGCAAGCGGCCGGCTGACCTCAGAGAGCACGCTGTAATTTAAGAGGGTGTCAGGCTGTTCAATGCTTTATAGGCAAAGAGATTTTAAAACAGACCCTGAAGGTCACAGGCAGCCAGTACCGGTGCAATGGGACTACGTCTGCTTGTTGTTGTCAGAAACCTCACAGCCGCATTCTGCACAATCTGCAGCCGATTAAGGCTGAAACACGAGCGCCAATGTACAGTGAGTTTGCATAATCCAAACCGGAGGTAACAAATGCATGTATTGCTGACTCCAAGCGTCTAAGGTGCATCAAACGGTGCAGCTGGAGAAAAAAAATATGATTTAATAACTGTATTTATCTGGGTACCAATAACCTGAACACTAATGTTTAATAATTATAAAGTATTGGTCATTTACAAAACTTTTCTTCAGGGTTTGTGGATGTTCAACTCGTATTACAAATAAGTCTATTAAATGGTACCATTAAATAACCGAGTTTCATCATTCAGGGGGCAAAAGTGTAGAAAAATACAGTGATAAATTATTATAAAAATAAAAAATGGTGCAAAAATGTTTTAATCAACATGATTTTTTTTTTTATTTGGCTCTCCAGTCAGATTGCAGTTTTATGTGTGCCGACCCTTTTCACCTGTTCTGAAGATGCCATGATCCTTCCTTCTTCAGATTAGCTATGGAGCCACCAGCGATACATTCAGTGACAGTCTGCTCTACCCATCGTTCTTTCGTACGGTGCCCAGCGATAAATGGCAAGTGGACGCCATGGCTCGTCTGATGAAGGAGTTTGGATGGAACTGGGTGGCGGTGATAGGCAGTGACGAGGCATATGGACAACAAGGTGTGCAGCAGTTCTCTAAATCAGCAGAAAACATGTCCATCTGCGTGGCCTATCAGAGCCTCATTCCAGTCTACACTGATTCCAAACCAGCTGTCAAAACCATCATCGACAATATCATAGCAACAGAGGTCAAAGTCGTCCTGTTGTTTTCCCTCGCAGATCCGGCTGTGTCATTTTTTGAAGAGGTCAGTGAAAGACATTTTCAAAACTCTTCACATGTCGATGCCTTACTGCGAACAGTCTTCCCATTCACTCTCTTCCAGGTTATCAACAACAATCTAACAGGTGTGTGGATTGCCAGCTCCAGCTGGGTCATCCACAATCGAGTGATGTCCATACCAAACATCCATAAAATCGGTACGGTCATCGGATTCATTGAAAAATTGGAGACACTGGAGTTGTTAGTTCCTTACATGCAAGAGCTGTTGGCAAAACTGAGTCTAAAGGCTTCTTCTCCAAACCTAAGTACTGGTAATCCTGATGACCCCTGCCCACAGTGTTGGGACTTGTCCCCGGCTAACATCAGCCTGGTGACTAACACCCTGGTGCAGAGGTTGGCCTTTGCTGTGTATGCTGCCGTCTACAGTGCAGCAAAGGCTCTGCACAACATGCTCGAGTGCAATTCAACATTGTGCAAATGGGATTCTAACACGAAAATCTACCCCTGGAAGGTAGAGTCGGTGGAGAATTTAGAACTAATTCATTCTTTTATAAGAATTTCAATTTACTTTTAAATTATATCCATGTTTGTAGCTGTTGGAGGTTTTAAGGAACACTTCAACTGACATAAATGGCACAAAATTAGAGTTTGATGCGAATGGAAATCCAAATGTTGGTTACAGCCTGATACAGTGGATATGGGAATCGTCAGTTGTGAATTTTAAAAATGTTGGAAGTTATTGTAAAAATGAGCTTTCCCTCAACAAGTCCAATATCCAATGGCACACTCAAAACTCAGAGGTAACTTACCAAGCACTTCTCTCCAAAGGTCTCTGATTAAAGCTTAAAGCAATATTTCTATTTGTTTCTCCACTTTTATTTCTTTGTTTTTTACAACTTTTGCAGGCTCCTAATTCAACCTGCTCAGCAAACTGTCAGAGTGGACAAGTTCGCAGAGTCAAAGGCTTTCAGTCCTGTTGTTACGACTGCATCGACTGCGTGGCTGGCACTTTCCAGAAAAATGAGGGTAACAATGCGTCTGTCTTTTAAAGGAACAGCGACACATTACGAAAACACAGCATGCTTGTTGCCTTATTGCTGAAAGATGTTTTGTAATAAATATAACCAACAAGTTTCACTTGAATTATCCTTTCAGTAGCATTAAACTAATGCTCTATTTTGGCCATTTGAAACTTGTTTCTATGTAAAACATAAATGATTCCTTTTTTAGCTTCCTAAACAGCCTCTGTTTGGAGAAATGGAGTTTATATCCTTCAGGACTGATGAGCTAACGGCTAGTCTGAGCTCATCTGAAAGCCAAGTTTATTGTTGTCACCTTAAAAAAGCTTCAGTTTTACATGTTTTTTTATTAATAACTGCAACATTTAGAAGGTAATTAGTGTTCAAATATAGCTCTGTGGTGTTTGGGAGATCGGACAGTTTAAAAGGGGACATATTATGTAAAACTTGTTTTTTGCCTCATTTTGTGCTGCCATGTGGGTCTCTACCCCCTCTCTACCCCTCTGTAAACACCACAAATGGGATAAAACGTTCCACCCATTTTCTGTCAGTGTTTGGTTCCAGGAATTATATGCCTAAAACGAGTCATTTTAACCATCTCTTATTGTGACATCCCATTAAGGAAAATCAGCAGCCCCCACTTGTCGATGCTGGAGGAGCAGCAGCTCCACTCCGAGCCCCTCCTGGATATTCAAGCCTCTCAGTTAGTAGCAGTCTGATCGAGGGGTGGGTGGGCATGGCCAGCTCCAGCTTGTTTTCTTAATGTGCCAGAGCCCTGAAACGATTTTTCTGGAAGGTACTGAAAATGCAGAAGCCTAAACAGGGAGGCCCAGATTTTCCTCTACCCAGCCACTTGGGCTAGCTATTCCAGATTAACTCCAAGGCGTTCCCTGGCCAGTTGAGAGACATAGTCCCTCCAGCGTGTCCTGGGTCTTCCTTTATGTCTCCTCATGGAAAACGTCACCAGGGAGGCCTCCAGGAGGCATCCTAACCAGATACCCAAGCCACCTCAACTGGCTCCCCTCGATTGGGGGTGGTTTGGAATAAGACTATTATAATTTTAAAATTCACATGTTCCTACAAAGACAGCAGCAACACACAGTAGTCTTGAGACTAGCCGTTAGCTCATCAGCCCTTTACCGAAGTACTGTTTATTCAAACATAGGCGGCTTAAGCATTCTTCAGCTGGTAAGATAGTTTACACAGAAATGTTTTGGAGACAAAATTAGAAGATATTTTCTTTGATAAAGTCAACATCTTCACAGTCATAGGCCGATTTCTGATACCTGTTGGATTAACTTCTGTCTTGCTTCCTGCCTAACAGATGACATCCTATGCACCCCGTGTCCTGATAGACAGTGGTCCATTCCACGCAGCACCACCTGCACTCCCCCCAGCTTTGCCTTTTTGGCTTGGAACTCAGTGGAAGCCCTGGAAATCTTGCTAATGTTGATTTTGCTGCTGATGTGTGAGGTTTCTATCTTTGCCTTATTCCTGAAACATCGCGGGACTCCTCTGGTAAAGGCAGCGGGGGGCGTCCTGACTTTTGTGTCTTTGCTAAGCCTGATGGGAGGCAGTTTAAGTCTGATGCTTTTCCTGGGACAGCCTGGGGACATGCTTTGCCATCTTCAACTGCCCCTCATTACCATTTTCCAAACTGTTGCTGTCTCCATTACCCTATCCATATCACTTCAGGTAATTGAAACACTCCCCTCTAGTGGCTGAATGTTAAAATTACACTTGCAAGCAATTCAGATTAAAAGCCGAGAGCACTTATGAGACAGAAAGTTAACGATGCTATAAGTAAAAATACACTTTCATCTTATTTTTCTTTTCTTTTAAACTGGCTTCTCATTTGATTATTTTGGCATGCAAGTACTGAAAAACTACAGAAACTTGAAATGCTAGCAAGCTGAGCCAGAACACAAAAATAAAAACAAACCCTGTACCATGTTTAAAACTAATTGATACCTAATTAGACTAAAATTTAAACAACATCAGATTGTAATTTATTCCATTTGGGGATACTGACACAACAATTAACATTCAAAAGAAAAAACAAAAATGTTTCACATGGTAATCATGCTTCCACTTCATCTATTTAAACAGATATTCGTTGTGACAGAGTTCCCAAAGAAGGTCGCCCCTCACCTGCAGGCTCTGAGGGGTCCTGGAAGCTGGCTGTTCATCCTGATCTGCTGCAGTGTGCAGGCGGGCCTCTGTGGCTGGTTTGTTCTAGAAGAAGACTCTCTGTCTGAACTTTTAGCAAATATGGAAATCAACTTCGTGAATTCCTTTCTGTCATGTCCAGCGGCTTCGGATAAACTTGCTGTCATGCAGGGCTTTAATGGTGCAATGGCCCTCGTGTCGTTTATGTCCTCATTCATGGCGGTGAAGCCTCTTCACCAGTACAACCTTGCCAGGGATATAACCTTTTCCACCCTGATCTACTGTGTGATTTGGGTGGTCTTTATTCCGGTCTACACAGGCCTGAAAACCTCCAGCACCACTGGGTCTAAGGATTTATCCATGGTTCATGTTTTTTTCACCTTTGCGGCTAACTTCGGATTGGTGGTTGCATATTACTTCCCAAAATGCTTCTTGCTGCTGAGGAGAGCTGACTTAAACAAACCAGAACTGTTCTGTACTTTCTTGGAGGGCGTCCCGCCAACAGCATCACAGGAGGATCCACAACCACAGATGGAGTTAAACTAGATCAATTCCTACAGTAATATCATCTCTACCTAGTTTGCTTTGTGTGTATTTTCAAAATGACATAAGAGAACATTTGACCTTTTTTCTGTTTGCTTTACTGATAGAATTGTTAACAAATACAGTAAATGAATATTGATCCTGGTGCAATTAAACATTCCCTAATTTAAGGTGTTGTTTTCATTACATGTTTAAATTTATTCTTTCTTTGAATGCATCAGGATGCTGTTTTTGTAGAAAATATTGCAACAATGCTTCACACTCAGCTGTGAACTAATCAAGTTGGAGGTCACCTTCTGATGAAGCCAATAGGACCACATCATCTGCAAAAAGCAGAGTCCTGATCCTTATGCCACCAACCCTAATCCTCTCAACACCTTGGCTTCACCTAGAAATCCTCTCCATGAAGGTTATAAACAGAATTGGTGACAAAGGGCAACCTCACCAGAAACAAGCCCGACTTACTGTCAGTAATGTGGCCCAAACTCAGGGACCTAACAGCCCACGTCGAAACACCAGCGTCATGTTCTGGTTTAGGTTCCTGACCCAGGACATTCAGAATCATACACGGAGACTGGATGAAAGGGGTAAACAATATTTGAGCGCCATCAACGTGAGGCGAGGGTCCGAGTGAGGTTGAAGTGTGGAGGTTGGTTAGGGAATGGAAGACGAGGAGGGTGGTCAGGCCTGAGGTGAGGGTCGAGCTTGACAGGGGAATCCAGATGAGTGAAGGTGAGTGCGGGGTGAGTAGCTGAGAGCGGGTCGGTCAGGTTGAGCAGGGAGACGTGGTCTGGTGAGATGATCCGTGGTTATAGCTGACGAGGTGGTGATGGTGAGGATACCTGAAGACAGGGAACAGGAATTACAAGTATGCTAAAGCTCAAGACAAGTGCAAGATTTCTAAAGCTCGAGAGTCGGCCTGTGATCTCAGGTTGGAGTGTACCAAAGTGAGCAATCATCCGGCGGGGTGATGTCGTCTCCCTGCTCCTTTTATACACCAACTGGTTGAAGACAGATTGGCTGCAGCTGCCCGCTCCTCAGTGCCACTCACCTGCAATTAAGCACCCAGAGGTCATGAATGAACCACTCACCTCAGACCATGACAACCTGGTGCAACATACTCCCAGAATACCCCCTAGAGGAGTCCTTGAAGGGCATGGGCCAACGCCTTCTCCACGTCCACTAAACACGTGGAAACTGGTTGGGCAAACTGCAAACAACCACCACACCCTCCGGGGGGAGACCACCTTCTTAATAAATCCAGTCCTGTTCACACAAACCAATCATTAATCTTTTTAATCAAGACATAAACGTCAAAGCCAATAAGACAATGTTTTAATAATACAATTTTAATAAATAATATAAATCACAATATATGAGGCTCACCATCTTCACAAACAAAAGAAAGACAAATCCCAACAGCTTTTGTGGACATTTTTGGCTGAAACAGCAACAGGTAATTTAAATGTTTAGTTAAAAAATAACTGAAGCATACAATTTGAAACAAAAACTGAAATATCTTAGGTGTGTTCTTGCTGTGTCGTTCTAAGTCCATATAGTCGTTCTTTTTTTTAAAACACAGAAACTGTTTTGTTACCTGTTGACGCTACGTTTCGGCGACGGCTGCCGGCTTCTTCAGGCTGATGCTGATGGTGGCGCGTCCCTTCCTTCTCCGTTTATCAAAACCGTTTCTGTGTTTTAAAAATAAAAACTGAAATAACTGTGTGAGATTGTCTTTTGTCTGAGATGTTTGGGGTTATCAAATTTGAGGTAAAAGTGTGGGATGCATATAAGGAATGAAGGATGCACAGCTACGCTAAACTCACAGCGTTACCACAGGGACTAATGGGGTGTGCCACCCCAAAATTTCCCAGGGCCCATCTGCCCCTCCCAAAAATTTCCTGGAGGTCACAGGCAGCTTAATGTGCCTGACAGCCTGAACCCAGGGATTGTTTGTCCTGGAGCACTTAGCAACAGTTGCTAACAACTTGGGCTTCTGCTGAGCTGGTCGCTGCTGAGTTTGTCCTTTAAAAGCTCCACTGGTGAGAAAAACTCTTATTCATCTTTAAAAACAAAACACTATGTTAAACCTCTGATGACCTGTAGCTTCTGTTGGCTATAACAACTAGTGTAAAAGCTAACACTATTAACCATAATAATTAATTTAATACACATTTAATAAACTCTGTGTAAACGGCATGATTTCCTTCTTTTTTTTAAAAAACGTTGTTTTGATATAGATCATCCTAATCATGATCCAGGGAAGATCTCCGATAAGCGCTCGCTCAGAGATCAGCGAGATGGAAGGTACAGGTCTTTAATGTTGCCATGTTTAAGTATTTCCATGTTGTTGTTTTTTTCAGCATTATTTTCCATTTGCATGGTTTTAAAAATAGCTGTCATATGCACTTTAAATTTTGTCGAGCAGAATCAGAAATAACTAAACTCCAGAGACAGCTCAGGATAATGGAAAGAGATCGACAAACCTACAACTTCCAGGCCCGCGAGCAGATTCGCAAGCAGCAGTAACTAAGATCTACCCTGAAATGTGTTTCTCTAACGAGTGTGTTTAGTGTAAACGGCTGACAATTTAGTCATGTGTTTAAAGACAGGAAATAGAGAAGCTGATGAAGGAGCAAGAGGAGCTGCATCGAAACCTCGGTGCCTGCAAGAATCTGTCTCGCCAACAGCGGGACGACAAGGACAGTCAAGGTCTCCAAGTTCTTCTTGAGCAGAGAGACGTGATAGAGGAAGAGCTGGAGAGGGAGAGGCATACTCAAAAACAGCTGCAGAAAGAGGTTTATGTCTTGTTTGATTTCATTTTAGAGAGACGTTTAGAGGCAAGAACCACAGGTTTTGTCGTTTGTCTGTAATGTGGGCAGATCTTGAGTGTACAGGTGAAGCTGGCAGAAGTGAGAAAAGGAGCAGTCAGCAGCAGTGACACACAGAGGTCAGAGGCTGGGAGGACGCTGAAGGCCATTCGTACTTTGGAATACAAACTGGACAGAGTGAGTAAAGAAATTCAATGAGAAATAATTAGAAAACCACCTGAAATCTGTCTTTTTATTTTATTTTTTCTGTTTTAAAAATCTTCATGTGTCATACGTTTAGGCGTCCACCCGCTTCAATGAGCAAATGGCTAAAAACAACCGTCTCAAGGAGGAGTTGCAGACTCTTCACATTGAGCGAGCTCGTTTTCAACATCTGCGCAACAGGCTGAACAAGGTTTAACACTTTACCTGTTTCATTAAAACACAGAAAGGATTTACTCACCTATTTGTCATTAATGCTAGGATTTGAAAAGCCTGACAGATATATTCCTAAATAATTATTTTGCTGTAGGAGCTGCAGGATGTCCGTAAGAGCATTGGGCAAATCATCAACCGCTCTACTGCTGCTTATGACGGGAGGTGAGATTTTAGATCACAGGGTGGAACAGATCAGGTCAAAGAGACGCTCACATTCAAAGCTTTACGTTAAAAAGGGTGGAGGCCCAGGCCAAGATGAACACCATGAAGGCGAAAGCAGAGAAGGACCGCGCCCATTATAATGCAGAGATGAAAGAACTCGAGAGAATTTTCTCTCATGAGTTCAGCACGAAAGATTTTATGAGCATCAAAAGCAGGAAGATAGCTGAGAAAGATGACGACCATGGAGCAACACCCAGACAACGTAAGAAACTTCCTGTTTTGTCCTCAGACCCAGAAAGATGCTATACAAGTGCGAGTCATTCATCATCGATCATTTATCAACTGTTTATTGGAAGTAATGATCCTTTTATTATGGACTTGAGTTTAAACAACAGAGCTGTTGGAGGTTGGGATGGATTTGTTCGTTCAAATTTAGTGGAAAATCAGACTTTTGAGGGAAAATGTGAGAATACGTGATTTAATAGGCTGAAGCAGTACGGGATAATGTTACAAGTAGTCTAATTCTGCCAAGTGTTGGATGTTCTGCAGTTTCTGCTCTGAAGGAACAGAAGGTGGATTCAGGGGAGGAGTCGCTGGAAGCTCTGGAGGAAGCGTTAGAGAAGATCCAGACTGTGATGGGAGATGACAACCTGGACCTTCTGGTCAACAGGTTCATCCAGGGTATCTCTTCTGAACGCTTTCTGAACTGCATTTTGTGTTTACTTGTGTTATCTTTGACTAATGGTTAAATGTGTTTGATGATCAGAAACATTTTGTGTGACAAACATGCAAAAGAATAAGAAATCAGGAAGGGGTAAATAATTTTTCACACCACTGTATATGATATACTGATATGATCAAATTCCTAATTTCTGATAATCAATACAGGGTTCCTCCTCGAGAAACAGAAAAACTAAAATATTTTAGGTAACTAACATCACAAATCTCATATCGTGAATCCTTGACCTTTAATGGTGTGGTAGTTGGATGAATGCCTTGTAAGTCGTACTCGGTGGGGGGTTTGTCCAGATGCGTCAAAAACCTGGAGGAATTCTGCTGTGTTGTGGAGTTGCTAATGCTAACGGTTAGCTTCTGCTAGTCGAGTCAGTCTTTGCTGATTCCTAAACCAACAACAGCCTCCCCCGTCACAAGTCAAGACGTGTGAGTCCATGAACGTTAAGTGATAGTTTGACGTATCTGTCAGGCTTTTCAAATCCTAGCATTAGCTTTCTATGAGAAGCTAATGCAGTAGATAGATGTAGGAGACTGTTTATGTTCAGCCTGCATGAAAAACTCAGTCACTGATTATAATCAGAAACAATCATTTAAAAATGCTTTTCAGTGTTCCACATCTTTAAACATTACCTGTTCAACAACTACTTCTTAAGTTGGGCCAAGTTGGCCAAACAAACACAGGTATCTCAAAAACTAGACCTCAGGTCTGTCACATGCTGACATATTAGGTGAGAGAAGTAGCTGAAGAGTTTGATGTGTAACATGTGCATGGTTTGTACATGTTGTGTTATTAAAAGAGTAAAAACTGATACAGATAATTTTCTGATATTACTTTAATGCCAGTATCGGCCGATACTGTCACACATCGTTCAACCTGTTTACGATGTGGAAGGTGATGCAGAAGTTAGTCCAGCATTCCTCCAGAGGCTGGCAGCAGTAAAGTCCCGCCCCCTCCATTTATACAAATGAAACATTTTTCTGAAATAAAAACTGAGCTTAAGTTTCAGATCAATTTTTCCTGTCACCACCCCTGTTCCAGATATACAGCACGGCAACACCTGTAAACAAAACACCATGAATAATAATAAGCAGAGATGTTTCTCCCATCAGTTACATATCATAACCCCTAACCCTGCCACCTGAAAAAAGACGCCGACGGGTCTTCACAATGTCTCCATTGATCAAGAAGACATAGTTCTGTCTCAGGACATGAGTTTAACCACATTACAGTAACATTTTTTTTTCTTCCGTGTGTCTTGTTGCTGTCTTCCTGTACAGCCGAGGACAGAAACTTTGCACTTTTCAACTTTGTCAACGACCAAAACAACGAGGCTGAGACACTGAGGAAGCAAATCAGTCAGGTAAGTAGTTTCTATTTGCTGGTTCTTCTTGCATAAATGTCGTTCCGGCGGGTTTGTGGTTAGTTATTATTTTGTGTAACTCTGCAGATCCAAAAACAAATGGAACAGTTGCAACTCGAAAGTTTACAGAGGGAGGAGCAGCATCGCTCTTTGCTCAGAGGCATCGATGAGCAGCGAAAGGAATGTGAATCTCAAGCAGAGAATCTTGAAAACCAAGCCAACGCCGTCAGCAGAATCCTGGATGAGATCAAAGAAGGTTTGGTAATAATTTATTCTACAGATCTAATTTTCTTATCTACTGTTCAAGGGTTCAATAAAGTCCTTTCAGATTGCACCCAAAAAAAAAGCCAAATCCTTTGATTTTTAGACACAAATGATTAAAAAGTAGAGAAACTGTCAACATACAGCTGATTTATTTAATGTATAGACAAGAAAACATACTAATACTATTTCTATTGTCTTCCTATCTCACAGGAGTGAACAGCCTTTTGTCTAAAATGGAATGTGACCGCTCAGTGATCGAGGATAAGCTAGGCTCTTCTGTGGGGATCACGGAGAACAACGTAATGTTCTACCTGGGTCTTGTAGAGCAAAAGACCAATGAGCTCCTCACTATTCACACTTTCCTCAAATCTAAAGTAAGCACTGGCTAGACTCTTCATGTTAAATTTTCATCTTTTCTATAATAAAATGTTTTTATATGTCTAGGATCAGGAAAAGGACCAGAGTCCTGCAGATTTGGCCAAATTCCTTTTGGGTCAAACCCCAGAACTCCTTCAGCAGAATCTCACCATCCAACCCAACCTCAAAAGGTAGAATTTTTAAATCTGCGCATGTCAAACGAATCCCGCCGAGTTGATAAACTTGTTTTGTATTTGTCATCAGTCACCCAGATAAGTTTTCTCTCACCGATGAGGAAGAACGTCCCTTTTCACAGGAGGAGCTTCGCAGAACAATAATGAAGGGGGTCAGTCCAGTTAAGCTCCAGATTTGACCTTGAAATAATTTGCTGTGGTGTGCACACTCATCTTCTTCCACTGATTTCCTGTATATGTTTTCCAGGTTCTTGGCACAGGGAGTTACAGAAAGCTCAAAGCTCAATCAGCAGCCCTGTGATAAACAGCACCCCCTGGAGGATGAAAGTGTGATTTCTCAGAACCGTGTTTGCTGCTGTAACAAAGCCACCATCAGTCCTGTAACCAACTTTACAGCCACCGCTTGCAAATGTAAACATGTAAACCTTCGTTCTATCGTGTGTAAATCACCTTTGATCTTAAGCTTTGGCCTGCTGTGTTTTGTATTCTTATGGTTTGTTTAGTTGGAACTAATGATGTTTGTTGCTTTAAAGACTCTGGCAGCCAGCTGTCCCTTTGATGTGTGCCTTACCATCTGGCTTTCACTCATTCTGGTCCAAGTAAAGTCTTTCCAAGCTGGCAGCGCTTCACAAGTGTTGTTTTGCTGCTATGCTTTAACATTAAGCTGTGTGGAGGTATGAGATAATCAGACACTGACTGCAGAAAGTCGTAGACCTTCGGTCTTTAGCCTGGTGACAGATCATTTGCTGCTGTGGCCCCAGACTCTGGGACTCTCCCCCTGAGCCTGAGATCAGTGGACTCGGTGGTCTCCTTTAAAAAGCAGCAGAAAACTCACCTGTTTCTAGCTGGCTTTAGCATGATCTTCATCATCAGTTCCTCCTTGTTCTGCTCTTTCTACTTATTCCACATTTCTCCATCCACTGATTTCCCTCTTTCCTGTTCATTTTCTCTCTACCTTACACTATTATTTTTAATCCCATTTTTTCTTCTCATTTTTAACATATTTTTATTCATTTTTTAAATCTTTTTTACACTTGAATTGTTTTTTTGTTTGTTTGTTTGTGTGAAGAGCCTTGCAATTTTTATCTAGGGAGGCACTTTATAAAAGATTGTTTTCTTTCTTTTTTCATCTAAACTTAGTTTTCTTGAGTGATCCCGAAAATAATGCCTTAAATTTTTTGCTCAATACGGTTAAACAAAAATGTCTGATGAGCGTTTTGAAAATTCACTTTGTGTATCATAAATCCTGTGTGTGTGTGTGTGTGTGTGTGTGTGTGTGTGTGTGTGTGTGTGTGTGTGTGTGTGTGTGTGTGTGTGTGTGTGTGTGTGTGTGTGTGTGTGTGTGTGTGTGTGTTCTTGTACTTACTACATACTGAGAACCATTTTCACTCCATTTTCCCTACAATGTGACGACATTTTTCAAAGTGAGGTCATTTTTGCAGTCCACACTTTTTTTTAGAAGCTTACCAGTTGGTTATAGAGGTATGGTGTGAATGAAGCTTTAGCTAAGGTTAGAGTTAGCAGTAGATCAGCATTGGTTAGGCTTATGGTGTGGGCCAGGCATAATACAGTCACAAAAATGAATGAATAAATGACAGTCCTCACAACGAATGCTATAAAAGAGAGAGTGTGTGTGTGTGTGTGTGGGGGGGGGTGGGGGGGTGGGGGGGGGGGGCTTGTGTTCTCATTAGGGTGATTTAAGCAGATGAAATTTTGAATAATAAATCTATAATAATAAATCTCCATTTTTGCCCATGTTGATGTTTGTGGGGTTAAATCGGTGGATCGTCACAAAAAAATGGTCTGGTACTAAATGTTGCATTTTCCTAAATTCAAACTGACTCATCAAATGAGTATGAATATATGTTTTAGGTCTTCTAACGTGCCTGAAAGTTTGTTTGTTTTTTCCAGATATTTTCCTTGTTAATCACGATCATAAATGGTTAACACAAATTCCAGCTTCTGCACAATTTGTGTGCAGTTTTCACATTTTTATGCATGACAAAACAGACAGAGGCAATCTAATACAGTTAGTGTGCACTGACACTAAAGAAAAAAAACACAGAAGAACTTCATTTTGTTCTACAACTGTTTTAGATGTAATTCATCCAAACATCCTCCATGAAGCACAATGGTGCAACGATGGCATATCCACTGCAGAGAGCAGCTTCCTGTGTCAAAAACAAAAAAGAAAGAAACGCCTATTTTAAGAAACATATTTATACTGCCAGCTCAGTAAAACAATTAACAAAGCCTGTTACTGGCTGTATTTATATTTTAAAGGTCAAACTAATGTCTTGTTTTTTAAAACAGCTCTACACAGGAAAAGAATAATTTGGCAGGAATGTTGAAAATAAGAAACTGACACATTTGGGTCATTGTTTTAAATGTCTTCAGTTTTGTTATTTTTATTTACTTCAAGGGTTTCGTCCACCCCAGGTGCGTTTTTATGAAAGCATTTTCAGGAAGCAAAACTGCTTTGAGTCGGATCAGCCAATGACTGGATTTGCTCCAGACAACCATGCACTTAAGTGTGTGGCTATATGAGAAACAGATTATCAGATAGAAAAGGGCGTGCTGTGGTGGCAACGCAGCTGGGTGGTAGTGGTGGGAGATGAGATGGAGGAGGCTGCTTTCTTTGAAATTCAACACTCACTCAGCCCCCTCCGCTCCCTAAATATTCTCTGTGCACACGGCACTCTGCATTGCCATAGTAACCTTCCTTTTAATCACAACAGAGACCTCATTTCCTGCTCCTGACAAAGAGTCCTCATTGCCTGTGGAGGCCGTCTGCATCAGCCACCTCTCCAGAGCCCACCTCCTTCTATGGTCTGGACCTACCAGCAGCCTCCTCTCTTCACTCCTCCTTTCCACCTTTTCTCTCCTGTTTTAACTTGAAAATCCGCCTATTTTGTTTTCTTCACAAAAACCCTCTTTTTATGTTTCTAATTTTCTGCAGTTACTTTTCTTCATCCTTCATTTCCACTCAGATGTATTTGTTGCATTTAGTCATTCTAAAAGTTACTAGAAACTCAGCTGGGCAAGCTAGAACATGTTAATTTACAAACTTTCGTGTGGCTGCTGCTTACTCATAAAAAGGATTGGAGTGTGTTTCAGTGTAAAAGTTGTAAATAATTATATTATCTGTTATAAGTTCATGAGTGGCAATAAATTGGCCGGTACGTCTTTGACGTCACTGGTCACATGGCTCAATCTAAGCCAATCAGTTGCTGCACCAAGCAAGCAGCAGCCGTGAAACTCACAGAACAAGAGTGAAAAAGTGACTTTTTGTTTAGAAAAATGGACTGCACACATCCACATAAAAGATATGTTTTCCTCAGGTGTTTTTATTCTGCTCCCGTGTTTGAATTTCTGCCTGGCCTGATCTGAACTGCTGAGCTTGACACATTCTGGAACCGTAGCATGTAAATGAAATGATAAATAAATGATAAGTGACCCACACTTGTTCAGTGCCTTTCAGAATCAGAGGACTCCAAAGCGCTCTACACTACAGTGTACAAAGAATAGGCCTGAAGCATAAATTCAGTGGAGGGACATGACACTATAGCCTCTTTAAGACAGACCATTGCATCATTACAGAGTGATAAATCCAAATTTGTGGGTCTCGTAAATGCGGCAAGGAGCAAAGGGGAAAGGTGATAAAACTCGATTCTGATGCGCTTAGCCTTTTAACAGCGTCCTCGTCTTTTCCGACAGTGCGAGCTATTTCTCTCCAATAATTATTAACAACATGTTGATCACGATGATCTTTGAGAGCTGAATCATACAAATGTCTGTATTTACGAACCTCTGCCATACTAGTTCTTGCCAGTCCGCCATGTTTTTCCGTGTCCGACCGTCCGCGTGGTTAGAAAATTTCCTAGGTGCGCGGTGCGGAAAGTTTGGGTCATACGGGGGCGCGGTGGAGGGGCGTGGCTGTTAAAATGACGCAATTTTGCAGCGTGGAGCCGTGCGAACCTCGCGGACGCGTCAAGCATAAACCAAGCTTGAGCCCCTCGCCTCTGACGGCTAAACGCGTGTCAGCCCCGCCTTTGGAGCGACTGTGGGAGGCTCTCCCGCAACAGAGGGTGGTCACGTAAGTGACGTATACTGCGCACCGAGTGCCGGCCGAAAGGGATATTAACACAGATAGACATGGTCTCTCACTGGTATCTTTCAACCACCTACAATATGACAAACTGGATGGACGCGGAGACCATGGAGCTTTTGGCCGTGCGAGCGGATGAACAGATTAGTCGCATTTTACGGGGACAGTGAGAGACAGCCAGTTGTTCGACAGAGTGGTGAAAACACTGGCTGGGCGGGGCGTCAAGATGGAAAAAAAAGCAGGTCACATCAAAGCTAAAGGTCCTGAAAAAGAAATTTCATCAGTCTGACGTGTCTTCCGTCTGACGCTGAATGTGCGACCCTGTACGTCACATGTGTGTGTGTGTGTGTGTGTGGGGGGGGGGGGGGGGGGGGGGGCAGCGACCTCCCTTTATCCCGTCTTGGTTTGAGAGGTGCCTGATGGCAGTTTATTCTAGCATCAGCTTTGCTACTATAAATGTCAAAATCCTCCCCAGGGAGCTGCGGCAAATCCCGTTTTGCAAAAGCTATGGTCCTGTAAAAACAGCTTGTGATTCTGGTATGCACCTAAAATGTTCTGCTTTGTGACTGTTAGCTGTGTATTACAGTTTGCAGACACAACACCCCGCTTAAGCATCGGTTGGAATGTGGGTTATATTTACACCCATAAACATAAATATTGATTTGAGTAACTTTGTAGTGCAAAAATGATGTCAGTAGCTAAATTAATGTTGCATACACCACTATCAAATGTTGGAGACTGTAGCTGATTTGAGTGGTCTTGTCACTAGCTAGCAGTTAGCTCATCAGTCCTGTATGACTCAGTACCACTTAACAAAGGCTATTCAGGAAGTCTTTAATTGTCCTTTTCTCACCATCATCCTGACTACCCAGTCAGACAGAAATGTTTAACTGAGAGGCTTGAAAATCTAGGAGGGGCTCAGAGTAGAGCTGCTGCTCCTCCAGCATCGACAAGTGGGGGTGCAGGCTGCTGATTTTCCGTAATGTAATGTTACAATAATCTGCTCACAGCTCTAGCTCTGGTAAGTTGTATTCAAATAAAAAAAAACTGTTTTCTGCTAACTGTGCTCAACTTCCTGTTTCCATTCTTATTCTGTTTCTAGGGAACTACTGCAGGTCAGAAGTAAAATGGTTTGTTCCTCTTATCAGAGACCCAAACTGTTATCTGAACCTTGAAAACACTTTGTGTCCTCTGTCTCCTCTCAGTCCTCCTCCTTTCTGTCTCCCTTGTTTGTTTATTTGGGATCATTGCCAGGTAGTTCCCCAGTCAGACTGCCTGCACCCACCATGCTCTCCTCCCCCTTTAAGTAGGCCACACCTCCCCACCCACCTTCCCGTCCTCTCTCCCATCCAGAAATGTTGCTAAGCAACCACCCACCAAGAGAGCTGGTGCATTTAGCAACCAATCAAATCACTAAAGAGATTTTCAAACACTGTTGAAGAACCAAAGAACCAAAGATAATGCTTTTATTTTTAACAAAGCCATTTTCTCTCTCTCTCTCTCTCTCTCTCTCTCTCTCTCTCTCTCTCTCTCTCTCTCTCTCTCTCTCTCTCTCTCTCTCTCTCTCTCTCTCTCTCTCTCTCTCTCTCTCTCTCTCTCTCTCTCTCTCTCTCTCTCTCTCTCTCTCTCTCTCTCTCTCTCTCTCTCTCTCTCTCTCTTATGAGATTTGCGAATTACAAACCATTGCAACTGTTTTACATTTAAACTCAGAGGCAAGTGTGCTTTTGTTCATTTTAAAATGTATATTCCCTCTGCACGTCCCAGCAGTTCACCACAGGGTGGCAGCACGGCAAGTTCCTCCATCACAACACAAGCTGCAACATTTTTTTCTACTGCTGTTGCTAAGCAATTCAGACTCTCATATCTTACCTGTGAAACATTTTTTTTTATTTTTACAGATGTCCCTGACACCATTTTGTTTTTGTTATCACCATTTTGAAATGCATTTTCACAGGTAAAGCTAAACACTCGAGCAATGTTTCACCAATCTACTGACATGAAAAGCATAGTAAAATCACTCATTTCTACAGATGTAAACTGCATTTCTCTGTTGCTTTAGTGGTTAAAACATGCTCTTTGATGAGGATCCAAGTGTAGGTTAAATATTAGCCATGAACCGTTTCAGTTGGCTTCATCCCATCATGCAGGAGGCAGGAAATGTGCTCTTGAGTGATTAGGCCTGCAGCTCTTGTCTTCCACTTTACAAGCAATTGGAGCAATGTGTGCTCTCTTTGATTCGATGTGTTGTGCAGCTTTTTTTTATGTGTCTAAAGCTTTGAGATCTTACACAGAGTTAATCCAGCTGAATTATTACTATTTTTTTTATCACCCAGTTGTTTCTTTCTTTTTCTTTTTTTCCACTCCAAGTCCCTGCCCCCCTCCTCAGTCCCCATGTGTGCGAGTCCCTCATCTCCGCTTTGGTTGCTGTGCAGATGGCTCTTTGTTGGTGCTTCACAATGGGTCTAAGGTCAGTGTGCCTCATTCCAACACACTCAAACTTCTTCACTCCAGCTGACTCGTGCCG